CCCTGCGGTCTTGCCATGGAATCATGGGTTGGGAGGACTGGAAAAACCGTCTAGTCTCAACTCCCGTGGTTCGAGACACTTCGCACTAGAGCAGGTTGGTCAAGGCACCATCCAAGCTTGGCTTTGGACACCGTCGGAGTTGGGGCGTGCACCACCTCCCGGGGAACCTGGGCCAGTGTCCCACCACAGTCACAGTAAAGAATTTCTACCTAATGGGTGTAACCTGAATTTCCCCTCTTAATTTCTACCCATTACATCTTGTCCTGTCACTACAGTTCCTGACCTTTATGTTTCTTTAGTTTGGACTTTTGTTGTTGTTGTTGGTTTGGTTTTTTTTGTTTGGCTGTTTGGTTTTTGTTTGGTTGGTTTTTTGTGGATTTTTTTGTGTGTGTGGTTTTTTTGGTTTGTTTTGGGGTTTTTTTTTGCTTTTGTTCTGCTTTGGGATTTTTTGTTCTGTTTGTTTGGGTTTTTTTTTGTTTTTCGGGTTTTGTTGTGTGTTTTTTGTTTTTTTTTTTTGGGGGAGTGTGTTAATTCATTTGGGGTTTTTTGGCCTTTTTTTTTGCTTGGTTGGTTAGTTGTTTTTGTGTTGTGTTTTTTGTGTGGTTTTTTGTTTGTTTGTTTGTGGGTTTTTTGTTTCATTTGATTTTGGTTTCTTTGTGATTTTCTTTTCTTCCTTTGGGAGTCTGTACTGCCATCCTGCCTCCTCTGCCTCTCCAGGAAATAAACCAGGATCAGGCAGCAACTGGATTCTCAGTCAACTTACAAAACTGATCCTCATCTCAGCACCTGCATCCCAGGGGCTGCTGCCATCCCACCCCACCCACCAGTCAGGACTCTGCTAGTGCCTTTTCACCAGAGCCAGACTTCTGGCTGGTCCAGGCTTTGCAGCTGCTGTCTAGCTGCCCAAGAGCCTCCTCTGAACCACAGCGGGGATCAGCTCCAGCTCAGCCTGCTGCTACTGCCATAAAAACTGATGGAGACTTGAGAATTATTCCCACAAGTATCTTCCATGTGTTTTCAGATAAGCCATTCTCTGGAAGGTGAACCAGGGCTGAAACGAGCCTCAGAAATCCAGACTGGAAAGGGGAGCAAAGGTCATCTGTATGATAGTAGGAGAGCTATCCTATAGATAAATATTTGAGTTTCAGGCAGCTACTCATGAAGGCTAAGAACATTTATGCCAATTACCATCACACTTGAAAGCTTATTTAAAAGGTTTCAATCAGGACTGTGACAAAGGGCCTGCAGGCAAAATGGATACTTCCTATGTATCAAAGGTGAAAGGAAACCTGAAAGACTTTCGGATAAATGAGTTGTACCAACAAATACAGAACAAAAGTGGTATGAAAAGTACAGTTCTCCGTGGCTGTAATTCTGCCAAGGCCAGTATCACAGAAGAAAATATATACAGTAATTGAATTTTACAGTACCAATGAAACAAAAAATTATGCTGAGTACCCTCCCCCTAAATCTAGGGCTTAAAGTACTTCAAGCTGAAAGAATTCCAAAAGGTAGGAATCTAACAGACTATGGCAAAGTTAGTGGGTGGCATCCTGAACTTACAGTGTCAAGCTTTCCACTAAAATACTAGAATATATTACTGGAAAAAATACTGCTTGAATCTTAAAGGAAAAAAAAAAAGCCTGTGCTGATTACTTTGTTACTGTCCATCAATCTTTTGTAATGTGACAGCATTAGATCCAAAAATAACCGTTTTCAGGAAATATACTGTTTTCTACTGGAGAAGAAAATTGTCATGAGACCACTCCAAGCAATCTTATTTCAAAAGCCACCTAAAGTAGCAAAACTGGGAAATCGTTTTTAAGTGACAGAGGGGCCTCCAGAGGATCACAGTTACCATCAGAGATGTGAAACTAAATCTACTGGATATCAAATATACCTAATTTTAATAATACAATTATAGCTATTAATGTGCATTTAAAACCTTTAAATCTATGAGTAAGGTCCTGTGGATTCTCGGTTTTAACTAAAAAGGAAGACAAGCAGAACAACTGATTTTGATGCACTGATTCTCCTTCACATTAATTCAGCTCATGAGAATTATTAATCCTTATTTTAGAAGATACCTTTAACTTATCTTTAAAACATGTACTTAAAATGTCGCACAGACAATGCAAAATGTTCTGCTTATACAGTGCATTTCTGTGTACTTACCACTCCTGTATTTAGGTACAAATACTCTCAGCTGAATTCACTGATACATTTTGGAAGTGATATTATTGACAACAAAAAGCATCAATCTTCTAATTTGTGCGATAATTACCTCTCAATTTACTTCTCAAATATTAAAAGCACTTTATATGTACACATATACACATAACTTAGTGCCAATCTATCAATATATTCTAAATTTGACCACACTGCTATTGCAAAAATATGCAGAAATTCTGTCTATAAGGTCTCTATTTTGTACATTTTAGCAACGTGAGACTTGCAGCCCTTAAATATTTATGACCATACTTGCTTCCAAAAAAATTGTAAATTTATGATAATACAGGAAACATGTTGATGCTGTGCATTAGTTTTATTCCATATATAAATGTCAGCTTGAGCAAAAAAAAAAGTCATTGTTGTATAAATTACTGAAAAAAAACCCTACCATAGTAAAATACAGAGCATAATAATAGACAAAACTGTAAAAACCATTTCTGAGTACTTTGGTCACATATTGGTAAAATTTATTTTAAAAGCAAAATCAAAAATGATACATGTGTCCACACACAACATGCATAACACACAGTTCATATGTATCAACACCTGACATTTTAGTTTCTCAGGCATTGTTACAACAGCACATTCAGCTTTGTTTTCAGTAAAGACTTTGATTCATTTATTTTTGATGGGAGGTAAAATAAAAGGGTAATACACTCCTAGAAACTGAAGCTGTAAAAAAATAAGTATAGCCTTTAAGCTGAAAACTTAAGTGGTAACAGAGCTACAGTTAAAATTGAGATTGCACACATAAACATTTATGCAACCTCCCCTCCACTTAATATTGTGTTTGTTTCAAGTGAAAATGACCAAATTCTGAGAATAATCAAATTATGTTACGCTATTAGAATACAAAAAAAGTACTCTCATGTAGTCATGTACAAAGTGCTTCATCCTTTCACTAAACTTGGACTTTACCTCTCCACCCATTCCAAACTTATCTCAAGATGGATTCCACCCCCCCCCCAAACACATTCTGTAAAAATCTTAATAAAATTTAATTTTGATTATTATGGTGGATGTCTATTTGTGCAACTCATTGCTGTAAGGGGCATATGGCAAAGATTTCCAATATCAAAGTGCTGAACATAAACATCGCATTGCTTTAACATCTCCTGAAGTAATTTGGTATTACCATGTTACTGAAGATGGAGAGTAATATAAAATAATCAATAATGAAATACTCCTTCTTCAAAAAAATCCCTTTGAATGGGGGTTTCATCCTTACTGTAACTAAGTGGCATAACAATATACTTTACACAAGACACCAATTGTTGTCTCTAGTGTAAGAGGAAAAACATTTAAACAGGAATATATCAATGTGTAACCCTTGTTGTTAATTAATCACTTGTATGTGATTTTTTTTAAATGTAGATAAATACATGGAAGTATTGTTTAAATCCTTAAAACCCTGGAGTTTCTTTAGTTTTCAAGATGGTAATTTAGTGTTATCGAGATTAAACCCTGTTGGAGTTTATCTGCATATTGGTTGATTCAGTTTTCCATCAAAGTTCATGACTCAATTAGTGCAAAACTTACACTATGTGCAATTTTCCTGTATGTTGTAGTAGTCAATACAATACCCAACTAAATTTTTTTCCACAGAATTTATTACCTATGTCAGATTCAGTTAACAAAACAAAGAAAACAACAGATAAGAAAACGTTCAGACAGTTCAAATAGCAATATTTTGTATAAAATGTAGTTATTTTAAACTTTCTGTCTTACTCCTTGCTTCAGGTTGCCAGAAGTATGAAATACTACACCTAGAAATATAATCCCTAATAAAGGCGTTTTGCTACTGTAAGAGTCAAACACACTGTATTTGTATTAACTTGACCAACAGCTTTCTCATGCTTCCAAGGTATCACTTTACCTTGTAGGTACCCATGTCCACTCAAACTTCCAAATCATTTTATAAAAAGGTAGAAAAATATACTCAATATTTGTTTAGCCTTTCTATAGTCACCCTATCATACAATGAATCTTACAAAATAATTTATGAGCTGAAAAAATACCAACGACTGCACAGCACCTGGAGGAAGGTCTCCATGGGACGGTACAATCCTGTGATCTTGAAGTTGTTTTTCTTCAGGTTTATGGACATGTATTTTCACAAGTAAATATTCAATACCATGTTCACATCCATGGACACACAGACCTTTCTTATTTCACACCAAACCCTGAAGAAGTGCTGGTGATGTGGAATGACAAGATCAACTAAGTTCGAGAGAACAAACTCCAGATTTAATTGTCACCAAGTCATTTTGCAACATGCTGATAAAGTGTCACTTTAAAAATTTTCCTTCAAGGGCAAAAAAAATGTTTCTGATGGAATTTTTTCATTTTGTGGTTTTAAATTCTGTTTGGGATCCAGTTAAGCAATGACATCATGGGTGTCACTGTTGGGTCTTTGGCGTAGAGTCAGCGGGGGCAGAGGCTTTCCATAGAAATCTGTGTGAGAAATTCCAGAGAAGAAAAACACATCAATCTGTCACCCAAAGGATTTTTACATATGGCAAATTCTTGCTTCCTTTAATGAAAGCTAGGTAGTCTACAAGTTAAGAGCTAATTCCTACAAGCAACTTTCAAATCTAGTGCTAATTAATGTCTAGAGATGTATTGGCCAAAAGAGGGTTTAATTACATTTTATTAAACATGCAGAAGCATTTGCAAGATCGAGCCCAAAGGTGATCTGTAAACATCCCTAAAAATAGGAAATGAGAAATCCAAAGTATGCAAACAACAACTGAAAAAATCAAGTATCAAAATTTGAATGGTGCTGTAAAGTCTTCATTACAATATAGTTCGAAGTGACAGTAACACTATGCAGCATCCCAAATTTTGGGACCATTTATGCATGGCATTTATCTTGCAAGTCATACTAACTTTCTAAAAGAATTATATTAAGAATTTTTTTAAAAAACTGCAACATTTTCTTTTGTCAATAAAGGAGTTCCAAGTAGTAAAACTGCTCTAGACAAAGTCAACAGGTATATCAGAAGAGAGTGACAAGTATTCTCAAACATTTGTGATTGATATAAAATTAAAAAACAACCATGCAGATGGGTACATGCAAAGCATTTCACAAGCAAAATAATATGAGAGATGGTAAGAGGAAACAGGTAGAAATCAAGAAAAAACAAAAGCAGCTTTTTGAAGCATTCAAATCTCAATTTTATTTATACAGACCACCTCTTCCCCAGCAAAGCCTTGATGGCCTGCCAACATAAAATTCAGCTTTAATAAATCAGAATTTCCCAAGAAGAATATATTCCACTTGTTCTACATATGCAATAACTTAAAATTGCACTCCTGAGCTAGAATTAACAAAAGCAAACAAGGTGGATTACACTACTCTAAGACTATGTGTACATGTCTGCAGGATCAAGGTTTTAGTTATCCTTACATTTAATCAGCAAAATGATAACACTTTTATGTTATTGTAGTAAATCTTTTGATTTTAATAGTGCTAATTCAGTGTCACAGCAGCAAGAAAACTGCAACGAATGAGTACAAGGCAAATAAAAACCTGTACAATGGATGGTTTTATCAGTCAATTTATTAATTTCTTGAGGTCTGGCAGACCACTTTAGGAATGACAGATAATTGTACCTCCTATATTGGAAGAGGTTTATTATTCTTGCAAATGTATCCTCCACCGACAATAAACAGACACCTAACATTACCTAATGTTGTGCCAGAATCATTATTATGATTGGAAAAATTGCAGTTTCTAGTGAAATAAGGGTATAATTAAAGACTTATATAATTGACTCTACTACCTGTTAACAGCCAATATAACATTCTCTTCTAAGAATGACACAAAAATGACTCAATATATACATTAAATAGTCCGTTTAAGTGTTTAAATCAACACTTAAATTTTCCAGTTTGCATAATTAAGGCAGAGTTATATGTTTGAGAAAGCCTAGCATTAAAAACCAGACCTTTGGAGGTTGTTTCAGCCTCACACTTCCTGAATTTTACATATTTCAGCAGCAAGAATTACCAAATATCTGACACTTAAAATAAAAAAATAATTCAAGACAAACACAAAGGACTTACTACTCTCCTTATTGAAAAGTATCTCTACTAGAATCTCTACTTTCACTGCAAATTGTTCCTTCAAGCTATTTATTTAAATTAATCATGAAACCAAAAGGGAAATAAAAATGCCCTTTTATTTCACAAAGGTTGAATGTCTGAGAAAACTTTTAAACCCAGCTTGGGAGTGGATTTTGGGGAAAGCTGGGGGGAAAAAAATCAACACTGAGTTATTTCTCTGCTGAAGGGATAGCCAAAAAGATGATTTTCAGAAAGATGCGATTCAGGAATATTCCAAATAAAGAATCACTGGCCTTAGAAAAATTCCAATAAGTATCCCATCAAGAGCAGGTTCTCAGTCTGCAAAATATGTAAAAACTCACTGAAAAACACTGTTGCAAGGACAGATGGCAAGTTAAATCAGTGCAAGATAGACTTGGCAATGTTGGGTTAACAGTTGAACTCAATGATTTTAAGGGTCCTTTCCAACATAAATGATTCCATGATTCTATGGATCTCAAATGGTCCCAATGAAAAAGAAAACAGCTGCTTTAACCAAAATAAGTAATCGATGCTCTTGGGTATCAGGACCCAACTGAAGGTTTGACTGTGCATTTGAAGAGCTTTTTTCATTTATAAATAGTGCTTTCCTAATGGATGTTTTCTTGCTTTCCTAGGATTTTCTGTTCTGTGTGAAACTTGTGAGTCTCAAAATTCCTGAAAAAAAGAATAAATCTCAGCAAAGAGCAGCCAAAGTCTTGAATTCAGCTGCAAAGTTCTGAGCACTTCAAGTTTGCTCTGATCTCAGTGGTGACACCTCTGGTTAAGAGATCCCTACCAACATATTTCCAGTGTTAGCTTCCAATTTAATTGGTTTTCTCTTTGTTCCCACCCATGCTCTTGCTACAAAATGCAACAGATAAAAATTGAAATTCCCTTTCTTCCCCTCCCTACCTCTTCATCTGGCTTTTCTCTCTTGCAGCCTTCTCTTTATGTGCCTTTAAAAAAAGAGCAAGACGGTTTTATGATTAAGATAATAAATTACATTTTATGCACATGAACCTCATTCCTGTGAGAAATAAATATCTCAGGTTTAGAAACCTCATTTTCCCTTTAGGCAGCTTTTGATTCTTTGGCAGAAAAGCTGCATGTTCTGTTGTTTCAGAATTTCTCATGACAATAGTTCAATTAATTCAAGTCAGGGTTAAGCTCAAGAGTAACTACAGCCACAGCTCCTTTCTCCTTAAGTTTCTCAATTGATGTTCTCTTTATTCAATTTGTGTAAGTGTTCTCATTGCTTTAGTTTGGTTGTTCTCCTCTCGTGTTACTCCAGATGTCTCCATGTTCACTAGGATATTCAAAATTTGAAAAATAAAAATGTAAGAAAAACAAAGAAAGTACCCTCTAAAACTCAGAAAAAAAAATGCAGTGTGAGCATATGAAAAACAAGCTTCCAGGATCTTCCAAAAATAGAAACCAGCCATTACTGAAGCAAGAAATCAAGCATCTGCCTACCTCACCTTTATATTTCCAGTTATTAAACTTATTTCTGCTCGCAGGTTATCAACTCTAAGGGACTCTGATTCTTCAGGTAAAGCAGCAGATCCCAAGCTTTTTCACTGACATTTCTACTTCCAGACCAATAATTTAGTTTTCATTTGGACTCTTAAAATAACTGGTCCTGAACTGGTCCTCTTACTGTTTGTAATATGGCACTTTTTAATGTTTAGGTACTGCTGCTATGCAAATAACTTCAGATCATTAACAGCTCCTGATATCCCAAGCCATTTTAAACTTTATAAGGGAATCCAAGATAAATTTCCTTTCCATAAAAAAAAAAAAAAAAGGAAAACTTGAAAAATCAAAAAGATGCTTTCTACTAAGCAAAAGGTTTAGGTTTTGGTCAATGAAAAGAGAATTAAGACATTAAAAAAAAAAAAGATGAAGAATGAAATGAATGTAGAAGTGAATGAACAATGGAGAACACGTTCAAAAAGTACAAAACCCAAAATACTTTCAATTACCAGCATGATGTGTTTCACCAAGAGGCTCGAGTTTTTGAAGTCTATTAAGTTTGGGAGTTCCCCAGCCAACTAAAGGAAAACAAAGACTGTCAAAACATGCCATGACTGCTCTTGATTCTGAGGAACTGAACAGAAAGCAGCTCATTTTGGGGGAAATCAAAGCATTTACAAACACCCAAGGTATGCAATATATTGCATCCACGGTGAAGAACTATGAAATACTTTTAAAAGAAGCTGATTTCCCCTTAAATAGTGATAATTTTCATCACTTTTTCAGGAGTAGTCAAGTTTCTGACTCACTTTTTGGGAAAACAATGTCTTCCTCCATGGAACAGGCCAAATCACTACTGCTGGAAGTTCTTATAATGAAGTGGGAAGCTGCATCAAAGATTTTCTAGAGAGGAAGGTTTAGCAGCATTTCTCTGTACGAAGATCATTCCAGTTTCATTATTCCCAAGTGAATCTTTTAAAGGATTAACAACCACAAATTGAGACATCAATTACTGGTGGTTAGTACACTCACCTGGTGGAAGTGCTGGTGGTGGTGGTGGTGGATTTTTGGGAAGAGAATCCTCTGGATTAATAGGTTCTACTCTGTGGCCCCTTTTTAATTTTGGTTTTTTACTTTTCTTCTTACTGTTATCTATAGTAAACAGAAATAAAACATTACATATCATACACTTATATTCAGAGAATATCTTAGATCATCTTCTAAAACAATTATTGAGGAGACACATGAGTGTTTTCAGTCCAAATTTACGCACAAAATTATGGGAAATGTAAAAGTTACACAGCATTTTGCTATAGAAAACAAATTTTAAGCATAAAGTATATGCAAACTCTGTGTTTCCATAACGAAATTCAACCTAGCTGGGTCCTGTTGGAAAGTGGACTGCATATTTGATGATGATAAAAAACAAACCCAATTTCAGCTACAGTATCAGCCACACCAACAAACATG